AGAGTAAACATTTTTCGTTGAATTGACGCGAACAGAGGATCAAGCACCCTCTGAAAAATCAAGCGATAGCAAGCTTAGTCTATTCCTTATTAATATTCAGTCCTTAAGACATAAAACAGATGAATTATATCTTTTTTATTACCATAACTGAGCACTGGTTAAATTTTGATGAGCCTCTGCTTGTTAAAAATTGGACCACTAAAAGTCTACGCATATCTTCTAAAAACATGCGTTCATTATCTCACTTATAAAAATTCTCAGACAGTAAATTACGTAAAACTATACAGAAAAATTTATCATGAGACTATGAGGGCCGCTAAGGACCTTTATTATAAAGGAGAATAGTCATGCTGCTAAAAAAAACATGGTCTATTGTGAATGAATTGAGAAACAAAGCTTCTTCATCTAGCAATATCTCTACCTCACCTGAGAACCTTAACGATTACTTTGTAAATGTGGCGAAAAACTTAGCTAATACCATATGTCCTTAAACTTACACAGTTTCTTTTTTTCGCCAGTAGTTTTAAAAGAGCTTCGCAGTACAATTAATACCATCAAAAATAAATCCTCATCTGGGATCGACGGGCTAACTTTAAAAATGTTTTCGAATCTGCCAGAAAGCACTCTGAATCACCTAACTACTTTAATAAACCTGTCATTCCAAAATGTCTTAAGACGGCAATAATCATTCCTCTGCATAAAGGAGGAAACAAAGATGAAGCTTCTAACTATCGCCCAATTGCACTCCTTCCAACGCTATCTAAGATCATAGAAAGGTTGGTTAAAAGAATATAATGGTGATAAAGTTAGATCATCCTGTAGAAATAGTTTTTTTCGCTACTTACTTTCCGAGATACACTATCACTGTATCGGAAACAATGTCAGATCGTTCATTGTTCATTATTTCGTATAAATAAGAGAAAACTTTTTATTACTACAGTATCGGACTCGTCAGTCGATTACCTCATAAATAAAATATGGAATTCGATTTAGAGAAATCCACCGGTTTTAGTTTAGTAATAATATTTGTTGAGATACACCGGGCAGAACGCGGGCAATCTGATATTGTGACAAGACTTATCTAGAGAACGTGCGTTTGTCTAGATTTAGATATTTTGACTTTGATTGTTTTGGATTTGTTCGGTTTAAAGCTGTTGTTATTTATTTGCTAAAGTTTTGTGTACTTTTAATTTTTTTTTCTTCAAAAAGGGTAAGTTTATTTTTTTGATTTTTTATTTTCTGTTATAAAAATAATGTCTATTTTGCAACGTAATTTACATAAAAAAATATAATACACTAAATTATAACACGATGCAAAAAAGGAACTGAAAAAAATTGATAATTGATCAAAATTCAGTCCCTTCTCAATACAGTAAGTTAGAAATCATAGAATTTGAACGAGAAAAGCAGTTATATGTTACTATAATTAAATAACATAAACAAATGTAAAGAGAGATGAAAAAGAATGAAGAATGTCTATGCTTGCTCAGATAACAATAGTTTCTTTAATTTTAGTTTAAAAATTGACGAACTCAAAGACTTCAGATTGCATTCCAAATTATTATACAGGGTGTTCAAGAAGAAGTAAGTGCGCGTATGAGTTTTTTTTCGCGAAATTCTAAATTTTTTGAAAGTTTTTTTAGTTTTTATTTAAAAAACATAATTTTTTGATAATATGGCAACATAGGTGTTAAATTAAATTTACAAGAAAGAAAATCCAAAAAAAAGATCCAGTGATTCTCAACATTTTAGCAAAAAATATTTTTTTTGGAAATTTTCAAAGTAAAATAATTCCGTTATTTTGGACTTATTTATTTGAAAAACGATAAAGAGAAAATATGTTTCTTTTATCGAGATCTACCACCCCATAAAATACTTGCACTTATTTCTGGGACACTCAGTATAATTTAAATATATTTTAGGTGAAGTTTCTCTTAAATATTGCAGATTTATTATGCCTGTTAAATTTATGATATTTGTGTTGATTCAATTAAACATTAAGCCTTGTCTACACCTAACGTTTTACCTGTCAGTCTTATCTACTATTCAGTCAAAACGTATCGAGTAAACCTTCTGTGTAGATGAAAAAAAATGGACGTTTACTTGAAATTGAATTAGGACAAAAGATCGTCTACAGTACGTCCCCGGATTGTCTTTACAAGAGGAAAAACTTTTTTATTATTGACATTTTGAGAAAAACTAGGATTAAAACAGTTTTAATCATCTGCTGATGATGCTAACATAGTTAGCGAAACGCGAATTAGTGTTTTATTTAACTATTTTTGCTTCAAGCCATCTCCGACTCCTCCTTTTTTATCATAACGATGGGTTATCAACGATCAACTATTAACTCTTTATTCTTTCTATCGATTGAATTGATTTTTTATTGTTATATTTATTAAAAAATATTCACAAGATAATTTTTTGCTCTACGAAACCGTAATGAGTTTGAAACGGTTTATCTTTTTATTCACTAGTGCGAAACAACTACTTTATTATTTATAAATTAAAAAAATCCGTCAATACCGTTTAATATTCTGATTATGTTAAATTAATAAAACAATTAATTGATTAATTGAAATAATCGAACGCTGCTTTTGTAACTATTTTTGAAGCTTGGTTCCAAGATTCACAATAATCTCACTGTTTTTACCATTAAACTCATAAAACCAGTTATAAAATAATCAAGAAACAGAACAAAATAATGCAGAAAAACAAACCTAATTTGAAAAAGGATAAATTGATTTTAGAAAAGCCAGGAAATCTCTTAGAAAGACAGTAATACCAGCCATAAAATTTTGAAAATTTCCTCATTTGTAGAAAATTTTATGCTAATTTTAGATTCAGAACATATACACCTTTAAAGGTTTAGATATCTTGATTTTATAAGAAAATTAATTTTGTTGGTCCTTGTTTTGAGTTATTTTTGATGATGGTTAAAACGTCTCCTATATTCATTACTGTTCTCGTAAGATTACAATAGACTATATTTTCTTATTCTACGCCTTTTAATTAGTAAATAACAGCAGTTCTAACGAAAAACTAAATCGATGACGAAGAAAATCGCCAATTTTCACAATATAGAGCTAAACCGATGATATTTTGTTTAAATATTAATTGAGAGAATGTTCTTATTCTAACAGTCATTTTTATAAGGCTAACTTGCACATAAAATTTTCATTATTCCACAGTCGTTGAATAAGACTGAGATACTGGTCATTAATATTCAGAAAATGTGTGGAAATTTGTACATATATTGACCTAAAATATTAAAGTAGGATAATAATATTTACTGAAGCGAAAAACAGACATGGAGAAAGAGAAATAATGTTGAAAACATCAGTAAAATATAGTAAAATATATATTTTTTAATTTAAAACATTTATATACATGAAATGCTATTTCTAAGCTTACTGTGACGTTTGTTTTTATTTTGGAAATTTGGAAAACACATTATTTTGTTTAAACGTGTATACATTTATTAACATAATTGGGAAATTTTATAAATAATTATAAATGATAATTCTTGTTTTCGAGTATATGAAGAATACCGTATTAAAATTTACAGAATTATTTATTGATTTTGTAAAATTTAAAAAATTTTACCTAGAAAAATTGGCGTCACAGTAGTCTTGGAATGATAATTGAACATTTAAGTTGGAAAAAAGCCTTAAAGTCAAGGTATACAAACTAGAATATGATTGATTTGTTGACATTTTTAGATATGAATAAACGATTTGTCAATTCATTTGTCATTTTTAGACAATCACACTCTATTTTGTAAATACCAGACTTGATATTATTTTTATTTAAACAATTTGATTCATTATAACTATTTAACTGTAATCCTTACCTATTTGTTATAAAATATCTAGAATACTAATTGTCCACTTTAAAATTTATAGAATTTTTGCTAATTGCCAAAGATTATCTTTAAACAAGAGTAATTTTTCATTTATCTTATCTATTTTTCTCTTTTTACAGATTAGAAATGATGATCTCGATACTTATACATGGACGATGACAGCACTACAACAGTACACATCAGAAGAATAGTAGTGTGAACACTCCGAATTTTACAGGAAAAAGTGTAGAAGCTCCCTCTCAAAATGAGGGGTGTATTAGTGTGTACTGTGGTGTTATTTAGTGTCTTATTATCAACCTCTTCCGGACGTAAGTGTTACATAAGACTTTTAGTTTTTTGGAAAGATTTTGCTCATAAGAATGGTATAAGAAATACATTCACCACTTTATAAAACTGGACTATTTCAAATAGAGATTTTTTTATTCATCGTCAAAAACAAAAATAACTTATATGTATGATTTACTAACTTATTATTAATTTAGTTATTTTTTAAATTTATTTTCTATGAAAATGAGATGTAAGTAACAAAGGCGAAATAAGATACAAGGCCCTGGTCGGTCTTGTTCTTGATCTACCATGATTATTTCTCAAAAATTTATTTTTTCTGCAACATCAATCAAAACAGCTTCTCACTTATCACCGTTTGTTTATTGTTAATTAACATTTTTCACGGTATTGAAAAGTCAAATAAATAAGCATTGTTGTTCATATATCGATTCTTATTAAATGTTTACAATGTTTTCTATGTTTACACGGGGGAAATTCTGATTGTATCTCATAAGGTGACAAAGATAATAGCATAAACATAATTAAGAAAACAATCAACTCGAGAAAATAAATCTCAAGAAATGCCATTACTGGATTTAGAGATTTTCAATATTTACTTTATCGTCTACAGGGTGTGTTTTATTACATTTAGCACTACTATTAAGTTTATGAAGCAATAAAATTTTATAACTTTTGATTTTTGACTATATAACTTTTATATTTTTTATTATATCCAGATTTTTATTACATTATAGTGATATTATTTTAAAGAGATTGTTGTTTAGTTTTAAGGAATGATAAATATTGATCTCTAATTGAAAAATTTCAATACATAATTTGAGATCGCCAATTAAATCTTTGACATAAAAATAATCAACTTACAATAGTTATTAATAATTTATTAAGTGCCAGTGTACTTACATAAATAATTATGAGAAAATAATAGATATAGTGTTTCTTTTTGCGATAGATAAGATCAGATTTACGAGTTTTCGAGTGGATATGTCTGCAATCTCAGAGAAATAAGTAAATGTAGAGACGCACTAATGTGTAAAGTAATGTTTTCTGTTCAAATTTTTAGGAGTTCTGGACAAAACAGACAACGATGAAACGAATAGTTCCTTAAACGAACCACTCTCTGTCTATCTAACATCACCACATCATAGACACAGAACGTAAGTATCTATATTTGGTGGTACTCACATTTTATAATCTATTGTATTCGGATTCTAGGTTTATTCCCTTTGCCATGCCCCTGTCAGATGACAATACGACAGATAATAACACTTGTGCCGATGATGAAGACGAGTTTCCGCCATTTTTTACCATAGAACAACAGCGCCACGGAGCTGTTGCTGTTTGTGTTCTCGTTGCTATTTACTGTTTCACTTTGCTGGCTGTGGTGTGTGACAAATACTTTCTGCCCTCTATCGAGAGACTTTGTGAAGTCCTAAACATATCCGCCGTAAGTTTTTTATAATTATTTGAACACGATCAGTTTTGTTAATCAGCTGTTAGTGGCTTTTTACTTCTAAAACAACGGGTTTAGCCGGATTAATATGGGAAATCTCGCGGCTTTTTTGACTCGCACTCAGGGGATCGATTTGGTGGCGAATCAAAATAATTCATCTAAATTTTTAGCTATTTAACTCAAATCGTTTTCGATATTTTCAAACAAAACTGTTTTTCAATTTTATTTTATTTTTATAGTAAAACTAGCGTGTACCAGCGACTTCGTTCGCGTCGAATTAATCTGAGTTTGTGAACATTTGTCGACGATCCGGAATATTTGCACAAAATGGCTCCAATATACCTTTTCCTGGTTCCCATCGAAGCTACCTGCTTTGCTTTTTCTCTTCTAAACGAGGACAACAGAGAATTTATTTTAGCTTTCACAATGTCCACTGTAGTTTCCATTTTTTCTGCTATGTCACACCATGCATCAGGTTTTTTAAATTTGTTGTGGTATAAATTATGGGTTGATTTCCATATTTCGGGTTTTAATCTATATAAATCTATCAATTTCAAGCACTTTTCATTATCCCACTCCATTTTTAATTTTTATCGACACAAAATGACACGTTCAAATTCAAATGGTCCCTGTTTTAAGAAAAAGGTTCGTTTAAACCTGTTTCCACAAAACGCGCACAAACAGAAAATCCCTTTGATGTTCCGACATCGGCCGGAACATCGCCAATCGGTTTGTGACAACCAAACTTTCTAAATAACATCTCGACCTGACAAATAAATGTCTTTGCAAATATTGCTGATCATTCGCGAACATTTGCAAACATTATGCGCGCTTGGTGGAAACGCACCTTTATACTTCGTTACACTCAGGAATTTTTTAGAATTTGTTAAAGTGGTGGAAATATGAAAAAAATTAAAAACTAATCTTTTTTCTAAAATCTTCTGTTTTAACTTAACTTATATTTTTGTATAGTTTAAAAAAGTGAGTAGAAAATATTTTTCATTAAAAATACATCCTTGTCAGAAATAAAGATAAAGATTATTATAAAAAAACGAGTCCGAGAAGATTTTAGAAAAAAAATGAGTTTTCAATTTTTTTCATATTGTTCCACCACTTCAAAAAATTCTAAAAAAATTCCTGAGTGTAAAGAAGTATAAAAGACATTTTCTGGCGATTTTTAGTGAGTGACATATTTTACAAAGTGTAAAAAAATTAAGATTTTAATTTTCTTTCCTCCGCTAAAAATCGGCTTTTCGTTTAAGAATCGTGTTCATGTTATTTTTTCATGTCTTGGACTTCTAAGAATTAAAAAAATCATCATTAATTAATTTTGAATTTTACTATAAAAATGAAATTGAAAAAACAGTTTTTTTTTGAAAATCTTGAAAACCGTTTGAGTTAAAGAGCTAAAAATTTAGGTGAATTATTTTGATTCGACACCAAATCGATCCCCTGAGTGTGAGTCAAAAAAAGCCGCGGGGGCAGATTTCCTATATTAATCCGGCTATATACCCTTTGCCCAACCAACAAAAAAGGCAAAAGTCTGTGAATTTCATCAACTTAGTTATGTACTACAAAAATTAGCACTTATTTTTCGGTAGACAGGCCCTGATAACTAATACTAATAGAAGATAAGTATTACATAACTAATTAATAAAAATTACGTTACAAAATAGAATTTATTTAAGGAATTTTTATTTGGGGAAGCTTAAAAAGCGATTAATTTTTATCTTTAATAGTAGCCAGAAGTACTTTACTTAAAAATATTTTATTGTAGCTATAACTCGACGAAATTGATCCTATTTTAATTTTTTAAGTTTAATTTACTCCATGAATAATGGACATACACTATTTGAACCTGAACCTGAACCTTTATTGTTACCTTAAATTAAATTACCTTTTCATAGATAAATAAAATGTATCTATTTCTGTTTTATTTTAGGATGTTGGAGCTGCAACTTTTATGTCTGTGGCCACTTCATGTCCAGAACTCTTCACCAACATCATAGCCACGTTTGTGACCGGTTCAGAACTAGGTATAGGCACTATCGTCGGATCTTCTATGTTCAATTCTCTTGGAGTTGCTTCTATTGGATCTCTAGCAGCAGCAAAAGTAACTAAAACATTAACAAAGATTTTGTATGATTTTACTTTTTTGCCATTTTAAGGCACTACTGGTTTTTTATTTTGGGCATTATCATCCACGATAATGCTCACCGGGCATTATCATGTACGATAATGCCCATGCGGGCATTATCATTATACGATAATGCCTCTTCGGGCATTATCGTATAAGAAGTAAAAAACGAAGTATTTTATTACTTTCTAAAACGATACTAATTTATTTTTGTTTTTTTTCAGCCAATTAAACTTGATTGGTGGCCTGTGACCAGAGATGTTTGCATATACATGGTTGCCATATCGGTACTGGTCGCGATTGTATGGGACAACGTGATATACTGGTACGAAGGCCTAACTCTGTTCATCATATACTTTTTGTATTTCTTCGTTATGTTCCAAAATCCGAAAATATCCAGATTCGTTAGAAGAACCGTGGACAAGTTCAGGAATAGAAATAAAGTTGCACCAATGAAAAGTAAGTTTTATAAACAGGCAGTCTAGAATATTAAAAATTTTATATTTTTCTTGACATTTTCCGGTATACTAATAAAAATACGAATAATTTACAGATGAAGCAGCTAAAGATGATCTCGAAAAAGAAAAGGAATACAACAGGGATTCTGTCAGAGTGTCTGTACGATCAGCATTCGGATCATACTCAGAAAACGTCAGAAAGTCTGGCTATGAGAACTCAGAAGAATATAGGAGAGCACAGTTAGCCGAAAAGGAATATCAGGAAAAAGGTAATTAATTAATTTGACGCAATTACGCAAGACAGCAAGAGTTTTGCATGCTTGGTTTTGTTTTTGCGGAAGTCTTGACTGGCAGGTCTTGGTCTTGGTCTTGCATATTAAACGCTATTATTATTATTATTGTTTCGCTCATTACTAAATATAATTGACACCTATGGTAATCGCAAAACTATTTCCGATTAGTGATGGGAATACCGGTTCCACATGAGTCGCGTTACAATAGCGACCGGTCCAGAAAAATACCGCCACAAAATATCGCGATTTTGTAATCAGCTTTAATCTAAATAAAATATCTGTTACAATCATTTGCTCTATAAAGTCAAATGAAGAGCTGTTCGGTATCCTAAATTATACAACAAATTTAAACATGGCCAAAATTTCATTTAGTCAGGTTTCTAGACTTTAGTGTCGATGTCGATATGATTGATGACGTGCATCGGAAAATGTTTTGCGATTACTATATGTGTGTTTTTAAATTCTCGTAAATTGTGCCAAAGAAGTGCATATATTAAAAAAGATATTTTCTATTTCTAGAGAACAAAAGTCCGTTTAAAGTACCAGAAGGAGGTTTTTGGGTGAAATTTTTCTTCTTCTACCTGTGGCCCATCAAGATGGCCTTGCGCTGTACCATGCCCAATCCCAAGACCCAACCAAAATTGTTTCCCATCACTTTCATCATGTGTATCGTATGGATCGGTACGAATTCTTATATGGTGTCGTGGATGATTAGTATCATTGGTAAGAAATTTTTCTAAATACTAGTGTATTAAAAATAAAATACATATAAAATTATTTTTTTGTTTTTTATTTTTTTAGGTACTGTCTTGAATATTCCTTCCACTGTACAGGGTATGACATTTGTAGCTTTTGGTGGATCTTTGCCCGAATCTCTTTCAATAGCAATCATGTCAAGAAGAGGTAAATTTTCTTGATATTTTAATACCGTATGATCGAAAAAACGGCGTCAAAAAAAATTAAAATTTTATGATAACTTTTTTTTGAGACACCCCGTGGCATATCCTAAAAATATATTTAGGATATGCCTCTGTATAAACCATGCAAAATCTGTATAAAACTTTTTCCATATACCGGGTGCGTCTCAAAAGTGTCTCACCCCTATAACTTATATATTTTTTCAGATAAAAAAAAGGAGATTTGGTATGTTAGCATATGACATAAATTAGGATTGATTGACGTATTCAATTGTTTTCGGTCACTTCCTGTTTCACCGGAAATGACCGTATTTTTTACTTTATTCGATAGAAAATGACACTCTGAATAGAATTACATTTCATAATATGTCAACTTTTGACATTTTTGCTTAAACAAAAATCCTATTTTAAATTTCAATCTAGAGTACCATGGCTGTGTTAAAAAGACTAATTTTTAATCAAGGAGCTTTGAAAAAATAGATTTGATCGACTAATGTTTTTAGTGTCTTGTCCCGGCCGGTTAAAAGATGCCCAAATCGTATTTTTAATCATTTCTCAATTTTTTCAAATGGAACGAGGGTGGCTCATTAGCATATTTGGAAAAAGCATTTTTTTACAAATAATTTGGTACCACACACTTGGTATTTCGAGTCAAATTGTCATTATGAACTGCATGTTACAATATCAAATAAACCATATGCGAAAATGTCAAAGTTGACATATAAAAATACCGAAGTAAAAAAATACCGAGAGTGCCATTTACAAATCAAAAGTTGTAATCATTTCTGGTGAAACAGGAAGTGTCCGAAAACAATTGAATACATCAATCAATCCTAATTTATGTCATATACTAACATACCAAATCTCGTTTTTTTTTATCTGAAAAAATAAAAAAGTTATATGGGTGGGCCACTTTTGGGACGCACCCGGTATATTGTTGGACTTCTTCGTACTAATGGGCCATCCTGTATGTGAAATAGGAAAATAAACACATTTTCTAATAAAGTTTTTAAAGAAAACCGCTCTCAAAATACGTATTTTTCCGATGATTATATTTTTTTCTTAATTTTCAGGTGAGGGTAAAATGGGTGTCTCAAACTCCTTGGGTGCCAACACCATGAACATCCTCTTCTCCCTAGGAATGCCGTGGTTCTTCAAAACCATCTCCATGGGTGCCAACAACGATGCCTTCATAACCATTCATTCCGGTTCAATAGTCTACACAATCACTGCCCTCATTATTGTAGCTATATTCCTCTATTTTACGTTACTGTTAAACAAATTCACGCTGTCCCGGAGGACAGGCTGTATATTAGTACCTACCTACGTAGTTTGTATAGTACTGGCATGTCTGTCAGAGATGGTATTCTTTCCTAGTAGTAGTTGTTAGCTGTTTTTATATTGAAATTTCTTAGTTCTTACAGAACAAATTTTGTATATATTGTATATAAAAAAATGGACTTAATATTTAAGAGAATGCCAAAAAAGACTGTTTTTTGGACAGTATATAGTGCCATACAGTTAAAAATGTGTTTCTGAAGTATCGTATAATCGAAAAAAAAACGGTGTCAAAGTAGGCTGGAGAATGACAATCGATGATAATTATAAAAATCATTTTACTCAATATAAGAATAAATTACAACCTTCTTAAAATAATAAAGAAGAGTATGGGTCAAGTAAATAACGTCTAGGTCTTGACTTCGCCAAAATTATCATAGATTGTTATTTTCTAGCCCTCTCTGACGTCTTTTTTTTCGATCGTGTGATATGTAGAGAATATATGTATTAAGATAAGCACTTACATTAAGAAAATTTGATAAGCAGATGTTATTATACAATATTTTATACAAACTATTTATTTAAACAAATATTAGTCAGACATATCAAAATACACTGCCAAAATACGCTACAAACTCATAAAATCAGCATTATATATGATCAAATCAAACTAGATGGAGTGTGATGTTTATACAATATGATGGAAAAAAACGGCGTCAGCGGTGGGTATGAAATGAAGATCGCTGTCATTTTATACGCCAACTGGACGCCCTTTTTTTTTCGAGCATATGCTAGAAGTTGGTTTAGCTGATGGTAGTTAAAAAAAATGTAAAAATATCTGTTCTGTGATATATATATATGCAATTTATTGAACAATTTTCTTAAAGTAGTGACATATATAATTTTTTGGTACCATTATCTATATACCAAAGTCTATTATTATATTTTTTTTCTAATTTTACATGTGTTTGATATCTTTGTATATAATGTGGAGTTGTATATAAGGTCAAAAATTAATTTAAAAAAATCATTTATTTTTATACGTAAATATGTTAATTTTTATTTTTATAAAATGGTTGCTGTTACAACCAATCGTGATGATATTATATATGTGTATATAAGGCAATAATTTTATTTGTTAAATATGTAACACTATGTGACAAATAAATATTAGTAGAATTTTATTTTTTATCTTTTTTATTATACAGGGTTTGAGGGTTTAACTTCTATAGGGTGGCTCAAAAAAGTGTGAGTGGATCAGGATGATTTTTTTAAAATAGTACACCCTGTATATTTTTGCATTTTTGGCTTCCTTTCATATCACATACAGGGTGTTCACAATTCTACGCCAAACTTTCTATAAAAAATATATCCAGGGTTCTTAATTTACTTGATAAAAAGCAATGAAATGACGATGTGTGTCAAGGACTGTATATATTCTAAAGGACTGTTCGATCGCGTCAAATCTACGTCATGCTACGTCACGCGCTGACCAGCGCTCCACAGTGCGGCGGATGGTTATTCTAGCGGGACAAAATTGGGACTTAAAATCTAAGAACGTAGCAAATGGTCTAATATATAGCAACTATATGGTTAAATTTATTGATTTATTAACAACTTAATTTGTTAATAAATAAATACAAGATAATAAAACTATGATATTATTCGTAGATGATACACAAAAACCGTATTGCAAACTATTGCCAAATACATAAAATTATGATATCAAAAAACTCTTTAGCAGTTTTTTTTAATTAATTTGTAATCTTGTGCCACCCTCTATAATTTATTTTAAAACAATATATTTTATTTTGAAAATAATAAATAAGATCGATATTTTAATTTTAATTTTAACACTCGGTAATTGTAAATTCATATATAGTAAGTATCTAAGACAATTTTTTAAACTCAGTGCCTTTTGATGGAGTTGTTTTGTTTTTATACTATCCGATTGAAATGAATCTTTTTGGGCATTCACCTGTTAAGCTTGAACTCCCTGTGACTGTGACTACCTGTGTTGGTAACTATTGGTAACTCAAAAGATCTACATCATTCAATATATCGATATTTGAAAAAAAATTAAAGTTTGATATCTGCAGAACAAAGGCACGAAGGATTTTAACAAATAATATACGTACAGTAGAAAAGTACATACGTTTGGCATTCTTCAATATAATTTGGCTTTCTAATAAAATAAGCACTTGTAAATATTTTGTTTTCGTATGATCTCTGTCTTGCTGAGCAGAAAACGACCAAATTTGGTTGATAAAAATGTATCGAAATACAAAGAATATTCATTCATTTTTGTATCAATTGGAATGTCTACTATTTATTCTTATCAGTACACATTTTTTGGCTTATTTCTAACCAAACGCTTTTGTCCCGCTAAATTTATCTTCCAACGCACTGTGCGCTCGTCCGTCAAATGCAAAAATAACTGTCACTGTCTAAAACATAGACTTAGAATAAAATATAGACTGAGCATCTCATTCATAAATAGCTGGAAGATGCGGACAGACAACGTCTTGTTATTGTTGTGTTATTGTTTTTGGCTCTAACGAGTGCGACACGAGCGATAGATAGGCTGTCTCCGTCGTAACGGTCGTTTCCTGACGGCTCTGCCGCCCAACGCAACACTGTCTTTTGTTTCTTCAGTGCACCTGCACTCTCCGTATCATAGGCGGGTATTTTTTTAATTTTAATGAAGCTATAATTCAATTAAAAATATATCGTATTTAAACTTTTTATATTATTAAGATTTAGGATAAAGAAAATAGTTTAATATAAAGCAAAAGTTAGGACTTAGAAAAAAAATACGTCTTAGAGTCTAAAAACGATAAAAATAATAAAGTACGTGTTATAGAAGAAATTTTAATAATCGAAATTATTTAATTTTTGAAATTGATGATAAATTATTAATTTAATAAAATATTAATTTTAGTCAAACATTTACAACTCTAATATTAATCAAAACAGGATCTATTCTATAGATATAATAGAACAGAAAGAGAAAAAACTTTATAATTGTTTAATTTTTTTTTCCGGTAAAAGTGATGTCTTATTATGTAAATTAGAAAAAACAGGAATCTGTTCCATTAAAGCAAGCTTTTAGGAAGTGAATAAAATGAAAACTACATTTATTTAACTCGTTACTGTCTTTATTATAGAGTAAGTATAATAATGGTAATGGTGACTATACTTTATTCAATGGAAATATGCACCAAATTCAAACAAATATAAAAGGCATGAGTATAAACAGTATTACTACAGTAATATTGAACATTGGTTCAAAAATATTACATTAATATAATACAATATTACTGTAGGTATTACTGTCAACGTGCAAGCTTGTTTGAAGCTTGATGTATTTGTATGCGCTTGGTACATCTTGGCGTTGGAAAATGTATAGAAAATTATTAAGAAAAACTAGTACGTAATGGGGGATATCTTGATATACAGAGTGGTCGGAATTGTATTCAGGAAACTTTGGCAGCATAATCTGCAAATAAAATCAGTAAAAAAAATAGTATAAATTTATGTCCTAAAATGCTTCGTTTCAGAGATACAGAGTGTAGAAATTTCATTTTTATTTCGCTTTTTTCCAAATAATTTATGAAGAATGTATTGATTAATTCGTTTCCAAATATCTTGAGAACTATACTTGTGGCGAGTGTCAACAAGAGACCTTATTAAGTAAAAAACGTTGGAAATGTAAATTTTTCTCAGTAGTTTTATATAGATACAGACAAAAAGTATTACTCTTCAAATAACTTAAAAAATATGTAGGTGGCGCCCCCTATTAGTAAAAGTCAAATTGACATCTAAATCTAATTTTTCATGTCAAAAAACTCCCAAACGCCAATTTTCGTCCAAATATTGACGTCACTTCAGAAATTATTTGGAAAAAAATCGAAATAAAAATGAAACTTCTACACCCTGTATCTCCGAAACGAAGCATTTTAAAAACTTACAAGTTCATTTTTTTAGAAAGCCAATGCAACATTTCTGAGTTTCAAATAAAGATAAAAAACAGTAAAACATATAATAATAATATGTAAATTATTTTCTTGGATACATACATATATGGCAAATAATAACAGATTGTTTTATTAAAGATTTACGTTTTGGTTAATTCTAAAACTATCTTCAGATTATATGTGATATTACTTAAGTGATATTACATTATAAAAGAAAAAATGAAAATTATACCTTATAATCGAAAAAAAACGGCGTCAGCGATGGCTATGAAATGAAGATCGCTGTCATTTTATATGTAAAATTATATGGAGTATGTATCGATGGTTTTTTCCAAGCCAACTGGACGCCGTTTTTTTCGATCATACGGTATTACAAATTAATAATAGATTAACAGTCGAGAAAAAAAAAGAAAAAACTCTAGGTAAGTACTGGATAAATTTTAAAATGGCATATTTATTTTATCTTTGTTTAATATAAAAAAAACGAAATATCTACCTGGTTTACATAACCCTGTATAATTTGTGAAATAATAATGGACAAAAATGCAAGCGGTAAGAAAAATATTTACAAAAAATATGTACTTGTTTACATTTCTGGACCATTGTTCGTCATTTTTGTTATCATAATGGTGACCCTATCATAAAAACGTAGTTATTTCTATACCTGATGTGAAACTATAGGGAAAAAGTAATGTTTGTAAAATATTTTAGTCTTGAAAAAAAATAAGGAATGTTTGGTATTTTAAAATGTTTGGTAGCTTGTAATTTTTTCGACTTTCTCGATTGTTTATAGTTTATAATAAGCCTTAAAAATTGTTGTTTCATAATGGAATATCATTCTGGAATTCCTGTATGTTATTTTAGATTCTAAGGATGGTTTTAGAATAAAAAGAAACACATTTTTCATAAAAAAAAGCATTAAATTAACCAATGCCCAAGAAAATAATGTGTCTACTTCTTATGTACTTAATAATGTATCTACTCGTTATATTAATAACGAGGTTAGTAAGAACCTTTACGTAAATGATAAATATAAAAAATACAGATTTTCCAGGGTTTATAATTTACTAAATTATTATCTAAATAAGCGCCTTTCTACAACGCCACTGACGCCAAAATAGTAAATTTGACTTACCTGTGGAATGTTGTTCCAGGACTTAAATAGTCCAATTTCTTACAAATTTGGCACTGACGAACCATGTTTTATAGTTTTTAAATAAAAAGTAATCAAAATAAACACTAAACCGACACTACACACTAAGAAAATCGAATCCAAAAAAATACAAAATCAAAACATCCAATAAAAACAATAAAATAGCCATGGAGAAACTGTGACAAAGGTTTTACGACACGTGCTTTACCTCTACTATGGCTCTACTACGAGAGAATAAAGAATGAACAGGCGACCCGGCGATTGATGGGTGTTGCCAAATTGTAAAGAATTTGTCATTTTTAAATAGTCTCCGACTTATAATTTAGTAGTATAGGGACTATTTAATACATCTTTCTACTATTAAACACTACTTTATTAAAATACAGTTTTAATATCTCAATATATGTGTATAACAACAAAAAAAATATTAATAATATTTTAGACGTGACAACATAGGCTGGAGGCGAAAGACTCAGACGGCCGAGGTCAGCTGCACCCAGGAGTAAACATGTTTACAAAAATTAATATTGGACCGCGCTTAAATGTAAATAGTGTAGTCTATATTTTATTCTAAGTCTATGGTCTAAAATCTTTAGCGCCAACTTCAACTCGGTCAGTAGATGACGTAAAAAAACTGACAGTGCAGGAAGATAGGAATCGAACTATCCTTATCTCTTATAGTATCCTTGGATGTGTGTAACGCTTTTTTTGTCTCCCGGTATAGTAAACTGTATAATAAGTGATTGTAAAATGTATCTATCCTTGAGAAGTGATTTATAATTTTACTTTTTTTGATATTTTACACTATATATTTTAACGCTTAATGTATATGTCCAAATGTTAGTTTGTTTTGGATCTCTTTACAAGAAAAATGTTGTGAGCTCATAACATACTTAAAATACACAAGGCTAGATTTGTTTTCATATTTAAAGGAGTTTTAGGAATATAAACTTTTCTGGATAATATTTCGCCACTTCAAAGCTATTATCACCTCACCTTAACAGAGTCATGTTCAAAAACAGAAATAGACCAAAGGGTATCTTTTAAATTATTTTTTTGTTGATAAATCCCATTAAATCTTGGTGCGATTCGAACCTCCTGAGTCTCAACATTTCTAAAACTAAAGCTTTATCGTATAAAAACTCGTTGCAGCCTTTTGTACTTAACAACACCACCATTGACGTCGTAAAATCTGTAAAATTCTTAAGGCTTGTTGTGGACAATTTTCTGAAATGGGACATATCGAAGCTTTGTCGAAAAAATTGAGCTCTGCCTGTTTTGCATTAAGGTCTGTTTCTAAGGAGCTTAACTTGTCAGTGGCTAGAACTGTTTATTATGCACTTTTTGAGTCGCACCTCAGGTATGCCCTTCCATTCTGGGGTACGTGTTGTGCGACTCAATTTGACCGCATTATCAAGCTCCAGAAGAGAGCTGTTCGATATTCACTGGGACTAAACAGCAGAACTCATTGCCGGGACTTTTAAAGAATTAAAAATATTGACTCTTCCTTCCTTATTTATATTTGAATCCGTTTGCCTAATACGTAAACATGTATCAGCTTCTCAAGAAAGGCCATCTCACACTTATCCACTCAGGAATGCGGAGCAAGATCTTTATCTACCTACCCCTCGCTCAGAGTTAGTTAAAGTTCAATATTATACAACTCAAAAAAATGCACAATCACCTGCCATTTGAAATCAAATCCATAACATCATTTTTTTCATTTCGCAAAGCATTGAACTCTTATTTACTAGACAAGACTTTCTACGCCGTAAATGAATTATATTTTGAAAATCGAATTTGATCTTGTAAACACTGGTCTAATGTTTGCTATTGCTATATTTACTAATGACATCAAAATGAATTTATTTAGAGGTCATTGATATTTGACAATAAACTAGTTAAATATTTTTGAATATTATTTTTTTTTGTTGTTTGACATTGTAAACATTTATAAATGTTTATTTTAACAATAAGACCGACAATATTATTTGTATAATGTTTTGTATTATCTTTTGTTTGTTTGTTTGTGTACCTTGTTTTTTTACTTTGTTTGTTAGTTTACCTTTGTCTACAAATTGAAAAATTTGTTGACAATAAAGGCATTTATTTATTTATAACTATTACCTAATTATAACATTTTCATAATTATTATCTGCAGAATATTTCCTTAGGGTATTTACTTTAGGGTCAGTTAGTAATTTAAAAAAAAACTAAGTCAAATCATCTACAGTATCTACTTATAATTTTTTTACAAGACTGGGTCATCTTATAGTGGAATAATTTTTCGAAATAAAATTCCATAACAAATCAATTTCGAAAAGCGGTGTTATTGATCGTGAATCCAAAAGCTCATTTATTTTTTTAAGAACGCTTCTGACTTTTTAATGAATGTTATTGATCACTTTGGAGCTTGTTTATAATGGTTCTTTGATGTTTGTATTAAAAAATAGGTATAGCATATTTCTGATTAGAAGTGGAAGTGGAAGTGTGTTATATTTTATACGGATTTTTGGTCAAGCTTTGTAGTTTTAATCCAAGAAAATGTTTTTAATAAAATTAAGTTGGAGCCTTTGGTGTTTCAATAGTAAAATAACACTATAATGTAGAATGTTTGGGAGGGTAGTTAGTCACCGCGACCTTACCGCTTTCTTGAGTTATACCGAGCTATAACTCATCATACAGTCTCAGGGCTTTAGCAAAAGCCAGTATCTAAGACGGTTCCACAGAGGTCAGCTCTTCATCCTTGACATCAGCCGTACCAAAGTTCATGGCACGAACGGTCGTCGTCTCGTCGCACTCAGTGATAAGGTGTTCTGTATTAACAAACATATATAACAAAAAAGTTCTAAAAATAATTTTGTTAAACCATTTTAAAAAGTTTGTTAAGCGTTTCTTTATAAACAAGTGTTTTAAACGTGTTTAAGACACCATTACTTGTTTTAAACATTTGATTGAAACTGTTTAAAACTGTATTTTAAACATGTTTGGTTGAAGCTTTGTTCAATAAAAATAAACTCTTTCTTTCAACTATGTAATAAATAAAACAACTTTAAGTCAAAAGGAATAAAAAACAAAGTAATCACTTCAACCTAATATTGTCTAGAAAATATCCAACATTATAAAAGAAAACAGTACCTAGAACTGAACAGAACAAGTGAAAAACATGGTACTTAAATTACTTATACCTATTTTTCTGTGTTCCAACTCAGAGGAGTACCATTAAGTTCTCTAACAATCGAAATACGTTTTACTACCATATTGTTATCCAACATAGTTCTTAATTTTGAATGCCATCTACACTATCTAGTTTAAAACTACATAAACTACATAAATAATCCCAATTTTGGTGTTAATTTTGTTAAAAAAACACGCCTGCGGCGCGTGTCGTGAACTTCATCCGCGTGAATAACAGCCACCATTATATGCTCATTGAATAATATACTAATAAAATCATAAAAAATTAAATATAATAATATATTGATAATGCAATTATTTTGAAATTTTCACTGATAGAGACTTAGAAGACTTTACTTAGGTGCTTTATTACATGTCTCAGGTGTTTTACTTAAAGCACTGATATATTTGACAGATATCGTTGCTTTTTTAGTGAGAAAAATGAATTTTTCGTATGTGAAAAGACGCGCAAGTATCCAAATGATGCTCAAATCCGCGCTGTCGAAAATTTCGCTCAGTTTTCTCGGAAAACGCCGGTCGACGGTCACGCTGAAAGCGCTTTCCCGCCACACGACGCTTTCCACGCATTTCCCAGCGCGGTTCGTTCGCAAACTCGCCGTTTTTCCAATGAAAACAGCAGAGAAAAGCGCGTATACTCCAAAAAATTGGTTAATTTGAATCAAAATAGTTCTAGTGACCGAAAAAATTGACTTAATAAAGTAAAATCTTTGCATTTTCTGTCATATTAAAGATAAAAAAAACTCACAGTAAATATTTGAACAAACTTAAGTGTCGAATGTAGTAACTGTTTTTTGTTCTGTTGTGGGCAGTTTGAGAGAAAAATTGTTATTTGATTACTTTTTACAACTTTTTGGTATAAAGTTTTGCAGGTATGATTTTTTTGACTATACAGGGTGAATCTTAAATAAGTGCACATATTTTTAGGGCTGGTATATCTTGATAAAAGCCACATATTTTCTCTTTACCGTTTTTCAAATAGGTAAAAAATAACTGAGTTATTTTCTTTCAAAATTAAAAACAAATCTAAATTTTTAGAACCACCGGAATTTTACAAGATATTATGTTTTTTTAACTAAAAATTTAAAAAAAAAATTTTTTCGAAAAGTACTATATTCTCAACAGTTTTTTTTCGCTAAAAAATCTTAGATCCTGGGATCGAAATGGGCATGTGATCGAAATATACCTAGTACCCAAAAAATAAGTGCAGTGGGACACCCTATATAAATTATTACTGCCATGTACTTAATAAATAATAAAAATAAAATGACCACAATTATTTTGAAAATCTGGCATTTTAAGAGTAGCAATTCTCTGACAAATTATTAATTATAACTTTATTGTAAAATTATATTACTGAATGATTTAGGACATAATTTTTTGTCTCTAGGTATTGTAAAAATTTGGTATTTAACCATTTTGCGAGATTAAATACCTTTAATCGACTAAGTATATACACTAAATTAAATTCTTGGCATATTATTACTTAGAGGAGTTGTCAACCAACTCCGTGGGCAAAATAATTTTAGGATTTCTTTGTTACGTAGGTTGGTATTTCGGAAACTACAATAGATATACGTATTTGGTTAAATGAGACAAAAGTTGCGTTATTTGAAGCTTGACAAACGCCTGTGTAGAAAACCCCGGTATCTTGATTAGTTTCCGAAGCTTTGCGTGTTAACAAATGATGTTTAAATCATAAATTCAGTTTAGTAGTAAACTTCTATGTTTTTCTTTTCAAATTTGCTAATTGATAAAAAATTGTCCTTTTTTCTCTCTACAATTTCCTGTCTCACAATGTACCGTTTGTGTCCAGGAAGGGTTCATAGTTTCATAGATGTCGATTTTCGAAAGAAATCGGTCCATTTATTTTATTTCGTATATTTTTCATTTTATTGATTTTATGGAAAGCACTGTTCATTAAAATGTTGTATCCTATGTTATAGGGCTTGTTTCTCTCTACAATTTCCTGTCTCACAATGTACCGTTTGTGTACAGGAAGGGTTCATATTTGCATAGATGTCGATTTTCGAAAGAAATCAGAACATGTATATTATTTCGTATATTTTTCATTTTATTGATTTTATGGAAAGCACTGTTCATTAAAATGTTATATCCTATGTTATAGGGCTTGTTTCTCTCTACAATTTCCTGTCTCACAATGTACCGTTTGTGTCCAGGAAGGGTTCATAGTTTCATAGATGTCGATTTTCGAAAGAAATCAGAACATGTATATTATTTCGTATATTTTTCATTTTATTGATTTTATGGAAAGCACTGTTCATTAAAATGTTGCATCCTATGTTATAGGGCTTGTTTCTCTCTACAATTTCCTGTCTCACAATGTACCGTTTGTGTCCAGGAAGGGTTCATAGTTTCATAGATGTCGATTTTCGAAAGAAATCAGAACATGTATATTATTTCGTATATTTTTCATTTTATTGATTTTATGGAAAGCACTGTTCATTAAAATGTTGCATCCTATGTTATAGGGCTTGTTTCTCTCTACAATTTCCTGTCTCACAATGTACCGTTTGTGTCCAGGAAGGGTTCATAGTTTCATAGATGTCGATTTTCGAAAGAAATCATAAAACTTTTTTTAGTAAAATAAATAGATTGGTATGGGACGTCATCTGCATTTCTTCTGTCATCGTCTGTCGAAATACCTGAAAAAAAAAGCAGAGTATACCTTAACTGAGTCATGCTCAAAAACAGAAATAGACCAAATGGTATCTTTTAAACTCATTTTTTTTTGAGAAAAACAATATTAATTATAATTAATTATAAAACAGCCGCCATACTATCCCCGAAACGTTTTAGGAAATATTTCTGGAAATATTTCGTAAAACATTTCGCAAAACATTCCTGGAAATAGGACTATAAATATAAGCCCCTGTTATAAAAATTTGTTCCCACGTTTCCTGAAAAAAAAACTGACAAAAAGCTAGCTTGTATATGGGGACTTTGTTATTTTATTTCACATTATCTTCTAATCAAACTAACTACATACATACATCAAATTTTATTACCTATTACCTACTCGTTTACATCCCTAAAATAGGAAGGATCTACTGCCTATTAAATTGCTACAACAATTAAATGTTGAGTTATTGGTATTCTGTACTCACCAAAATACTATTAATTGACTGACATCAATGATGAATCACAATAAGGCAAAACCATTTTTTGACAACCGTAAAATTCTTAATTTATATTTTTTTATTGTGCCCAAAACATCTTTTTCTGTGTGATTGTTTTATAAAACAGTCAAATTAATCTGTTGACTAAGTAATTTCAGTGCAAATATATTCTAAACAATAATTGAACAAAAATTTATAATATGCATGGTCGAAATTTATTGAGAAATTCATACATTTAATGTACAGAGTTGTAATTAAAATATTATTGTTATTTAGATTTGAACTTAATTGAAAATGTATAAATAATTATTTTTAATGTGAATAATTGTTTATAGATTTAATTTATGAATAAATTGCAGGTATTTTTGTCAAGTTTTATCTTATTTTTTATCCGATTTTCATGATTTATTCTAATTGTTTTTCATCTCGTCATCATTGTCATAGATTTTGTTTCTTGAATTGTGCTCTTATTTCATGCCTTGAAGGAGCTGAAATTACTTTAAATGATACAATGATTTTCAAAGAATATACAGAACTAGCTTATCTTCACTTTAGATCTTTTAAATATTCATTAAGGAGACTATTTTTGAAAAATAGTTTAAAAATAGATAATAGCAAGAAATAATATGCTGCAGCGTAGTGTATGATATTTTATGGTAAAATATGCTAATAGTTTTGTCAATGAAGTATCCAGAAAGAAAACTTATTTTTGTATAAAATGAAGTATTTATTTTTAGCTCCCACTTTAAAAAAAAATTATATAGCAGACTGATTATTATTTTTTCTAATTTTCTAAAAACTGAAACTTATAATAATTAAAATAATATAATTAGACAAAACGAAGAAACTCTTTTTTATATTTTATAATTATTTAGTTATTTTTAGCTTGTTAGCGTTTTTAATATTTCTCTCTCTAAATTAGTAGAATATATAATTAATTTTTTTTTATTTTATGACGTTAGATGAGTTTTTATCCTAATTTAAAAGCTATTAGATTCTAACGTAAGTAATCGATTTCAAACTAAAAGGAGAACTGGAAAGTTCGTTTAAAACTTTGAAGTTCTTTAAAATTCGAAAAAAAAACTAAGTAAAAAGGTACTTAAATGTCTATAATGATCTTGTAACTACTGCATTTTTTTAGATTGGATATCATTAAAAAAAATTTCTTAAATTTTTTGATAGGTTGATTATTTTTTGTCTTCTCCGTTTAATAATAATTAAATGTTTTAATTGTTGCTTCATATTTTTTATTCTATATTTTAACGAGTGCTTTTTATTAACTCGGAAACAATAAGATAGCTTTTAACATTTTTTATCAGAGATAGAGTTTTTAAAAGTTCAAACACAGGGAAAGGTAAAGACATTTTTATCATCAAGTGAACCACTTGATATAAAGTACACTTTTAAAGCAATTGTTAAAGAATTTTATATGATGGAAAGTAAATATACTTAAAGTGGTTATGAAAGTTGTCTGGTTATTTTCAGCTTATTCAACCATTTCCAATTATGGTGTACCTCCCTCATATTTAAAGAAAAAAAGTAAAGATTTCAGTTAACGTCTCCTTTTCGCTGCCACGGCTAATCTGGACGAGGTCTACTTTGTTTAGGCGGAATCCGAACCGCGGTCCTCGGCCATATCATGGTCAATGACCTACCGAGTTGGCAAATGACTAAATCAACTCTTACTCACGAGATATCCGATCTCATCCGGCCTCGAACCGGCGTGAAGGAGCAGTGTTTGTCAATAGATTTTACACTTTTGCCTTTATTGGACTTGTCGGCGCTGGCACGATACAGAGTTTCGAACTGGTCACCCGTCCATCTACTAGTATCGCCTTACGTCGCTTAACTTCGGTGTTCTAATGGGAACCGGTGGACGGTCTTTCTTGGTTATTCCCGGCATACGTGCGACCCGCAGTTTTCTTTGACAGTTTCTGTAAGAGAATAAGAAAATAACAGAATAATTACTGAAATATCGAAAAAATTAACGAAAAAAATTATGTCAAAACATTTTTTTTAAATAAATTTGGTTTCGAACTCATCTATTTTCCGAAATTGACAGCTAAGTAGCTGTCAGTAGCTTAGTAGCTTGACAGATTACATCTTAATAGATATTAAAGTATGTAGAAAATACTTGAATCAAAATGTAAACAAAAATATAGAGAAGAAATGACTTTCAAATCGATCGGTCTTAATCATTCCAGAGGTTCGGTCAATCAGTCGTCCATACAAAAGATTGGCAATGAAAAACTCTCAATTCAGTTCACTGTCAGTCAGTACGAAATCAGAGAGCTTGTTTTTTTCAATAAAATTGTATGAAATTAAATTTTCAGATGGTCGTTATTTGAATAAATAGTAACAACATGTTTATAAACAATACAATCGTAAAAACTGTAAATGTAGCAGTTCCAAATCCAATGGCACCTCGCCAAAGATCGAAAACTCTTAAAATTATGAGTTTTACTGACGAATTTGATAAATTTCGAGACGTCAAAATGCATTAGTTAGCTTTACAGTCATCGAAACCAACATAAATATTCTCTATGTTCGATTTTCTAATGTTTATTGATTCTAGGACCCAGATTGTGACCATACCGTGTTGCTTCCTGAACTGAAAATATACAGGGTGTCGAAATATTCCAAAATCAGTTAATTGAACACAATTTACTTCTACAAGGTGGCCCGAACTGTATTCCGGAAATTTCGGCAGCATATTCTACAGATAAAAATAA